GTGAAAATGGTTCGTTTGATAAGTGATTACAAAAGAAGACATCCGTCCAGTTTTTTTTTTCAGAAATACATTAGCAAAATAACGCTGAACACAATTACAGGGTCGAAATAATACAKTATCTCGAAAATTGACGTTTTTTTTTTTTACATATTTTTTGAAGTCACTGTAAAATAACACTTTTAAATTCAACAAACATTTGTTGTATGTAGTAATACACCAAGACCAAGCCGATAGCCATGAAGAAATGCAAAAAAGTATAGRTACCAGTAAAAAACAAATGTAATTTTCAACAACCTAATTAAATCCTTTTTAATCTAAACAATTATTGAAGAGAAACAAAATTAGATTTGATAAAATCCTAGTTAGATCCATTATACCTACTTTATGCTAGTGAAGTTGGGAGTATGAGCATTTATCAAATCGCCGAAGGACGAATGTTAGCTATAAACATCTGAGATGAATAGATGACCAAAAAGATAATCTAAGGTGGTTACGAATAAGACCAAACAAAGTAAACACTTACTATGTAAGTATTTAAAGATACGTCAATACACTCGATTCTAATATAGTGGGTAGACGCTAGAGCAAGAATTATTGATAGTGGCGAATATGGAGTTACGAAATGAAGACCAAATAAATTACGACTTAGGAGGAGGCCTAGACAACTGTGGTAGGGTCAAATAAAAAAGATCWTAGTAGAGTTGAYAGTTGAACATAGTGGGATTGACGTCACATGGAGAAACGTGGAGATGTTGTAAAAGCAAATATGCGCTATTTACGATCTCGAAAAAGCCTAAAACAATTGTTAGAAAATAACTCAAATATTTTAAAAAAAAAGTATGATTTTGTTTCAAAGATGTTTTAAAAACGTTTGTRTTACGTTTAGATACACGTGGTACTCATGATAACAAGGGAATATAGGTATATAAATAGAACCACTAAGTAGTAAGTATCCACAGTGAAAATATCTGCGTCTGGCAGACATTATATTATGTTATAATGTTAAAACTTTATAGTTATAATATTTTATACTCTAATTTGAATATTTCTAAGAAATTTAACAGSGAAAAAATTAGATTGCAATAAAGATGATAATGTATACGCTAAGGGGAGAGTGTAATTACATAATTAGTGATGCATTTAAATGGGGAATACATTTACTGCACATTAATTTATGTACAAAGTTATACGAATAATTTTACTAATGGACAAAAGTAAAATAAAATTTATAACCTATATTAATTATTATTTCATATTTATACTTCACAC